GTTCGTTCGATTTGATTTCATCTTATATTGAGTATATACACTCCCAAGACCATCCTCGAAAAATTTAGAGAAAATCCGAGGTGGAAGTCTGGAGCAATGTTGATGAAATTCCCCATCACCCATTTAAGTCGAGTCGCGGATATTCCGACCAGGCCCTAACGTTTCCACAATTTTATTTTTTCATCCGATTTGATTCCTCTTATATTGAGAAACACTCCCAGGACCATCCTTAAAAAATTTTGAAAAAATCCAAGGTGGAAGGCTGGGGCAATGTTGATGAAATTCCCCATCATCCATATGAGTCGAGTCGCGTAAATTCGGAACAGGCCTAGGCGTTCCGTCAATTTCATTTGTTTATCGGATTGGATTCATCTTATATTGAGTATACTCTCCCAGAACCATCCTCTGCAAATTTCGAGAAAATCCAAGGGGGAAGTCTCGACCAATGTTGCCGAAATTTCCGAGTATCCAATATTCGCGAGTCGCGTAAATTCGGAACAGGCGCGGGCGATTCCACATTAATTTCATTTAATCATCCGATTTGACACATTGTATTTTGAGTATACACTCCCTGGAACATCCTCGGAAAATTTAGAGAAAATCCAAGGGGGAAATCTCGAGCAATGTTGATGAAATTCCCCATCATCCATACGAGTCGAGTCGCGGCTATTCGGAACATGCTCTAACGTTTCCACAATTTCATATGTTCATCCGATTTGACACATTTTATATCGAGTACATACTCCCAGGACCATCCTCGGAAAATTTAGAGTAATTCCAATTTGGAAATCTCGAGCAATGTTGCCGAATCGCCCCATCATCCATACGAGTCGAGTCGCGGAAATTCGGAACAGGCTTAGGCGTTTCGTTAATTTCATTTGTTCATCCGATTTGATTCATCTTATATATTGAGTATACACTCCCGGGACTATCCGCGGATAAAGAGAAAATCCAAGGGGAAAATCTCGAGCAATATTGCAGTCTTCCCGGATTAGCGAAAATCCATAATTTTGTATAGATATGAAAGGCTAAGTCGTTGAGCCATTTTCTTGTGTTCATCTGGAGGAAGGCCTCCTGGGACCCTTCTCTAATTTTTACCGGAGTCTTTTTGCTCCATTTTGCTGCCATTTTAAAAGCAACCTCTAGGTAGATAGTCAATGGTGGTGGCCTTGGAACAATAATGGAATACATAACGCATTCATACCCTTTAATGTTGCTGAGCAGTGTAGCGAAGTGTAAGAGGCTATGAAAGAGCTTTGCTACCATCAATAGGTAATCTGGCTGTCAGGGAACTTTTGAGATATCGCTCATAATAATAAACATCATTATCATCATTCACCTCTTGCAGTTTCTGGAGTGGTTATTAATCGATGTCATCTTCATTTAATTTTTTCATTTGATTTCCAACGGGTCTTTACTTTACAGAGTAACCGTTACTTTCATTTTTGTTTAGATAACGGTCTACCACATGCTGAAGCTTTTTTTTAACAAATCCAGATGTTTTAGTTACTAAAAAAACTCTTGTATCAGAGTACTAAGAAGAAATGGTGTTTCAAGATCCAGCTGCGTTCATGGAAAAGTTATTAACAAATCTTCAACCAGCCACCATAGGCCGGTTGAAACTTGAAACTGATTGTAAGTATTGCATTCAACTTTTAATACCCTTTGTGAGCTACCGCTTCATTATTACCAAACTTGCATTTTCAGGGCTCGAGTTGAAAAATTTACATTTTTATTGTAGCTTTTGAATTAATAATTTCGGAGAAAGACCATCTCCTTTTTTTTTTAATTTTTCAGAAGAGCCAAAAAACTGATCAGAAAGTGAATATTTAGTGAAATCACGAGACTGAAGGTTTGATACTGTGTATGATAGTAATGAGTAAATCCAGAGCAAAACCAGAAATTTAAATGAATACTGAAACTGAAAGATTAAAATGGGGATGGCCCCTTTTTTATATTATTTGCAGTTTTCCATGTTTAATTCTATATAAATATAAGGACTTCTCTAGTGTGCTGAGATCTTTCCTGAAAAATATTATCACCGTGTCGTGTTTTTTCTGTGCCAGTGCCAATGAAACACACATTATTATGTGACAAAGCACATGTGAAATCAAATTCAAAAGGCAACATTTTCACTTAGTTGCTTTGTGTTGTTAGGACTGCTGAACAGTTCTCTGTCTAGCTAAGAATGATGGGCAAATCTAAGGAACACAGTAGCTTGTCAGTGAAGATAGAAAGTGTATTTTAAGGTGATTCAATAGACGCCATATTTTGTGTCAGAACGGCATGCGATATATCGCAACAATTGGTTCCATTCTTCAGCTACTCGTCATTTTTCTCCAATTTTGAGATCGCAATTCTGTTGTTAGGAGACTAAAGCACTTACTTACCAATTTTAACAAATAAATTCAACGTAATAAAGGCGTGGTTTTTTCAGAGAGAAAACATCGCATTCGATACCGATATCGAAACTGCACTCGAATGTGATATTTTCTCTCTAAAAAACCACGCCTTTATTACGTTGAATTTCTTTCTTAAAATTGGTAAGTGAGTGCTTTAGTCTCCTGACAACAAAATTGCGATCTCAAAATTGGAGAAAAATGACGAGTAGCTGAAAAAATGGAACCAATTGATGCGATATATCACATGTCGTTCTGACACAAAATATGGCGTCCATCGAATCACCGTAACAACACTTCAGGTTGACTTCTGGTCTTTCTGGAGATGGCTCTTTTTCGAAATTATTGAAAAATTGGACCCCCTTGAATGATGTCTCGCAAGAAAACCAGTTGTAAGCTTTTAGGGACTGGTTTGCGTATCCATTAAGAGTAGATTCCTTTAGGAAAGTAAGTTTGTCAAAATTTTAAAGATGGCCCCATTCCAATATTATCAAGTATTTAAAAATCCCCAATTATGTATTATTTTTAAAAAGAGAACCAATTAAAGTACCTCTTTAAAACTGTCTGTGAATATTTATGAATGAGTATGAGAAATTTACAGAAAATGTAGAAAAAAAAAACTGTACTTGGGCTAGTTTCCTCTAAAAAAGGGGGCACAAGAATGGAGACTAAAAATGCTAAAGAAACAATCACCAAATTCAAGTATGAAATTGGTAAACTTCAAAGTGATAAACCAGCTGAGGCAACTGTAAATAATGAATTATAAAAAACTTTCTGTAAATAAAGTTCCTACTTTTATATAAACTCAGCTTCCTCAAGATTCTTTTATGTTAATCTTTTTCCCTTAATCATCATAAAGAACAAGGCCTCATTTAAATTCTCTGGTATTACTGCATTGAAGTAAAATTGAGGGGCTTGGAGGTCAAGGCGCATTAAAGCAGTTTTTAAAAGTTGAGATATTAACGATTTCAAGTGAAACTGGTCTTGGTGCATATTCTGTGAAAAATTTGCTCCCAAATTCCTATTTTTAAACATCAAAAAGTCAGTTTGAACTTTCTTTCTGCCTTGAAGATCCATGTAATTTCGAAACTTCTAACAAGTACATTTTCAAAAAGCAAAAACTGCACTTATGTGCCTTGTGCTTCAAGCCCCTCATTTGTCATAATCAAAAATGAATTGGTCCCAGGTGGTCAATGGAAACCTCTTAAACTATTTTCTTTGAAACAAGCAGAATTATATTTTGTAATGGACCAGTAAACAAAGCAAAAATTGAAGCGTTTTGATACATGACTTTTAACCAAAACACGGTAAACACTACTTGCAAAAAGGGACTTACTGAAATCAACTCCAAACTAAGATATCAACGTTTTTAGTTTACATTGGTTACAAGAATTTTGAATTCCCCACTCACAAGAAAAACAATGGTCTACTTGAATCAAATCGCACATACCACAACAGTTTTGGCAGGCTTCTTAATCAAGCCATGTTCCTTCCTGCCTTGGGTTGTTCTAGGTGATAACTACGTGTAACAGCTGAGCCAAAGATCCAAAATCAAGGTTGCCATCTTTGCATACCGCAGAGACTGTTACAGTAACCCTTACTGCGCAATTCGTCTCAAGTAGACTTAAATTTTTCCATGAGCACAAGGTTTGAATTCACGCGTCAAAAAATGTTAAACAGCTTAATTAGAGTTACTTTCATCAATTTCTGTTGCGAAAATCGTGTTCTGGGTAAAATTCTCGTTACGACTGGTCCATTAGTGGACCTGCGGGAAATTATGAATTTACTGATATTCAACTTAACATGGCAGCATACCACTGTGACCACCCCTTCTTGATCCGCCAATGCTTCAAGTTTTGAAAAGCTCAAAAAGTTAGCGATTAAAACTGTTGTCAACTTTCAGTTCAATATAAGTTGATTGAAGCTAACTGGTTTACATTTACCAAACAGGGTTAAGTGTGATCAAAATCAACACAATTTCAATTCTATTTTCCTCAATAAATAGTACCTTGTAAAGCCACCCTCCTACAAAATACTCTTCAATTTTCACTCACCTCCTCCCATCCAAAAAAAAATTGAATTTAAAAAACACAAATTAAATAAAATTGCATAATTTTTTAACATTTAATTTAGTATTAACTATATTAAATGATACCTCAATAATAAAATTTAACAAATCAAAAATACATCATCAACATCTCATAGAATGATCTAACAAAGGCAGTGGTAGGTGGCATTGCTGTGGAATGAACCTCGGGAAAATAATTATGAGTTGTCATCGTGGCTTGGAGCATAAAGAGATTTTTTTCAATGAACATAAGAATTACATACTAATATTGCAGCACAAGAGTTGTTGAAAAAATATAATTAATCTCGTTCATAACAGAGTCATTTTAAATCAAGTGAAATCAGCCGCTCATAGGCATTATGGTAAAAAGGTTTAGCATCTTAGGACTTTAAGTTCCAAACTATTGAAATTTTTTCTTTAATCTTTTGTTTGAGATTAACTGCTAAGGCTTGTGGAGAAAAGCTACTGGTTTTTAAGGGGTCCAGGGGCTGGACGAAACAGAAAAAAAAAAAAAAAAACCCACATCTCTGAACTTGCCTACATTTAGTGTTTGGTCTGGCCTATTTGACCTATGAGGGGGGCTTAGAAGTGACTAATTTCAAATTAGATGCAGTTTACAGCGATAAAAAATTTAAGCACAGCTAATTGGCATGGTGCAAAATGATGAATCCTGCGTTAGATTTTTGTATGTAGTTTTTCCCAACAAATCCTGTCAATTGTGAAGTTGAGTTGAAGCTAATAAGAATGAAAATATTACAACTATTAAAACAGCAACTCTTGAAAAAGTCACTACCAGCTGGAAGATGCTACTACAGATTTTCAAATTAACCTATTTTAGAGAACTTTCTTATGGAAACGACTAAACTAGAATTTGTACATCACACACTCGAAATGGGGAATGGTAAATTGTTTGAGTTCCAACCAATTCATAAACTAACAAAATTGTTTATGCATGCACTTAATTAAGCGTTCATTGGGAAGACATCAACAATGTTTTCAGAAGCTTTAATTACACCCTCATGTTACTGTTTTATTACAGCTAAAGCGAATTTCAGCTCATGCTTTACGGAGGACTTTACTTTAAGACAACAACTTTGGAAAATTTATGTTCAATAAATGAGTTGAGAAAGTGCCACCATCATACTTTTTTAATACTTAACTAGTTGTCAAGATATCAGCAAGAGTCCCTTTTGAAGAAAAACCATTCTCAAGAAAGAATCAAAAGGGCACCAGAACTGATTGGCACTAAATAACAGCAGAATTTGTTCCTCTCCACTATTGGGAGCCAACTTCTTCCGGATAATCTTATGATATTTTACCTAAAAATGAGAAGAGAAGAAAAGTAGTTAGAATTCATTCAACAGAAGTTGCTTCAAAAGCAAAAAATCAGGATACTTGAAGCGACCCTGCATGGGGAACCAAAGGTATTCTGACCCGCCTAAATTTCATTATTATTCAATATTATATTCTTTGCGACTTTCTAAGCACAATGAATTTTTAAACTTAAAATTTCAATATGCAAAGGTTGAGACAAGCAGGGCTGAAAAAATAATTTGTTGGCCTTTTTACAAGTGTAAAAAGTCAAATGGAGTCAATGGAGCTGTGGAATTCCTGGTCTGTGTGTAAAGATGTTGCGCCTCACTCTGTCATCATTTGGAAAATTTGACTATTTTTGTCTATCTTATCTTCCTGGCCAGTAAGGAAACAAAAGCTCTACTTGAAGACCAGTCGGATGTTTCATCATATCTACTAAATATTGCATGAAAAATGCAGAAAATTCACTGTTTGGCCCTGCTTTTCTCGAGCCTGGTACATAGAAGGTTAGAGTTTGAGAGCTTATTGTGCCCAAGAGGTCAAAAGGAACATTATATCAAAAAACAGAATTTAGCAGATGCTGAGGTACTTGATTTTCTAGATAGGAGCCCTTTTGACACTGAATTTGCGAGTCAATGCTGAGATACTTGGTTTTCTAGATGGGAGCCCTTTTGACACTGAATTTGCGAGTGTATGCTGAGGTTCTGTTTTGTTTAATTTAGTTATATTTGTAAAGACATAACGACGGTGAAAGTCGGTAATCTCATAACTTGGTTTGCAACGTCGCAGACTTACTGTCATACTTTATTTTTTAAACGGAAAACTACTCAACAGCAATTCCTTAAAACTGCCGAGATTTTTCTTCTCTGTGCAAAGAAAATTCTGCAAAAACTTCAAGGAATGATGTCAATTTGTTCTCCTTTAAAAAAATAACACAGAAGTGGAGATTTTCAGACACCGCAGGCGAGATATGTGATTGCGGACTTACGCCGTTGATAAGCTTTGAATTGAGTATCGACACCAATACTGACTTTGATGGATCTATACCTCTAGAGGAAAATCAAAGGAAATTAGTGAGTGTCTTGACAGAATGATCAATTGATTGATAGAATTGCTTCACTACTTTTGAGGCAGGAGAGTAGATAGCATTCAAAGAACTCTGAAAAATTACTTGCAACGTAGGAATAAATGCAAGAACCTAAAAACCTCATTTGAGCTGCATACTCATTTTGAATAAAGATCTATGCACAGATTTTGAGACAAGTTTTGGATTGGGTACCACCTGGGAAGAGGCGACAGGGGCGTCCTGTAAAGGGTTGGCGGCAGGGCGTTGACGAAGAGATGTTGCAGTGTCAGTTGCCCAATAACCTCTGGGAAGACAGGCATATGTGGCGTTTGGGTGTCGTAGAACGCCGAAGTGCGTTGTAAAGCGACTTTATATATATATATCTATGCACAGATTAGTCCAGATCGCTAACATCCAATCTAGCCAATGCTTAGAAAGCGTGAGTAATTTTGCTACAGGTTAGGCAACTTAAAAAAATTGATGGCACTACCAGTAGTGAAAGAACTTGACCGGATCGAGAGATATTTCCTCTTGAATCTGATTATAAAGCTTTAATAAAGTATAAATAGTAATGTGTAATAATGGTTTTTGATCAAATTAGATTTTATCAAGTACTTTTATGCTAAGTATTCTGTTTCAATATTCTTACAACAGTTGGTAGCAATTAACTGCTCTCATGGGGCCTGGCGGGAATTCAAAACTAGGAACCAAAAGTCTCATTTTGCTAGGATTTTGCTTTAATTTTCGGTTTCTAAGGCTTTAAACTTCAAAAATATGATATATTATAATCTGGCGGTGAAGATCGATTCATCCAGAATAGATGAGAGATAGACAATTCCAAATTAAGGGGGAAAGGGCTGCATCCAATCAGCTGGTTAGCACTTGTTCACCACTTGTTGCATAGCATGTTTGTTGTTGTGGACCATTAGGGACATCCCAGGACAATACCCTGATTAACCTCGCTCTGCAATTAACTTCGGTAAGTACTTATCAATATTTGATGTCCTAGGTAAATTCATGCAGCATACATCCTTAGAGATTCATCATTACTATTCATCCCTTGCATTGATCCAATATTTACCAAAAAATGATGCCTAGTAAAGCTGTGGTGCGGGATACTATGAAAATGGTCTGCAGTGACAAGTAATGTTAAAGCTCCTCCTTGCTCTGCAGGCCGATTATCGAAAATACTGGTTTGTTTGGGGAATTAGACTACATTAAGATAGGATGGAGGTATGTGTTCGGTCAGCTGTGTTCATTGCACAACTGGCAGCTGCATCGCAAACCCTTTATGAAGCTAACTAATTGACTGGTACTTGGCAAATGAGAAGGTACCTCTAGCTAGTTGTTTATTCAGTACCTACGATTAAGGGATAACGATAAGGCTGCCACTAGCTCCATCGACCTAGCTGACGACTCATTTATTAGCTCCGTTCCACCCTAGTATTGTCTTGTCCATTAAATAAACTCATAATTTTAACAATCGGCATGCAGGCTGTAAAAAGATTGCATCTTCAAAAGGTAGGCCACCCTAAAAAGGGAAGCTGTTAAGCCCCTGAATACTTAATGGCGTTTGGACGCATGCTTAGATGATGATGGTTAGGTACGTTCTTATTCATTACTTACTATCATTGGTATAATCTGTGGCATCTTTGGCTGCCTATGAAGGGAAATAATTGTTTGACAGTTCTTTCACAATAATATTTTATTATATTTGCCACTTGAAAGAGCATCTTTCTGCAGCGGTCAGATAGCTCATGGTTTTGGCTCTAATCTCAGAATTCCTGATTAGATAATTACTGAAGCGATTAATGTTCTCAAATAAGGGGCAATCAAATGTTAATCATCCTTGACAGATTCTCATGGCTTAAATCTTCTCAGATGCATCAGTTGTAGAGCCTTACTCCACCCCATGATTTCAGGAGTGCTTAACAATAAATTTTTTTCATGTTAGATCCTAAATTTTTATGGGTCAAGGATGCAACAGCGAGATGAGGGATGCATAGATTTTTTAGGCACTCAGTCTGGCTAGTGTCCGTACTATTAGGTGCACATTTTACGCATAGTGCCTGTCAGAACTTATTATATTTCTGCACTTTTTTTTTTCATCTTTCTTTCTGACTAACTTCACGTTTTAATTCTAACTTTTTTTTTCCAGAATCAAAATGGGATTTTGTTGTGGGCTTGGCTGTACAAATCGGACATCAAGACCGCGAAAAAAGAAAAGAAACAATGAAGAAGAAAAAATCAGTTTTTTTTCGTTAGTCTAATTATCTTTGTTTTACTTCTTCCACTGAATTTCTCCATCTCGCAGAATACTGACATTTCTGTTCACAAACTTCATACCTGTGTGGTTTGCATTTCATGGTGTTGGACACTGAATTTTATGTTGGTGTGTCGATATTTTTTTTTTCAGAAAAATTTGAAGGTTCAAAAATGTTGCTGCTATTTTGTTTTGTCTTAATTCTGGAACAAAAAAGTCAAATTTGTTTTTTAATTAGGTACACATAATTTCTAAGTGAAGGGTGGTTAGTACATGTATGCTTGAACAAGTTTGTAACCCCTTATCGATTTCCACAGCATTCATTATAGAACGCTTAATGATGGTGTGATGCACATCTAGGACATATATTTGCCTTCTGCACATGTTCACCATAAAAAAAGCTTTACGTAGACTTAACAAGAAAGAAAGAAAGAAAAAAAATCTGTATTTTTTTCCATCCTCATATCTTATCCTCCTGATTTCTTTCTTATATATTTTTCTTAACGAAATGCCTCTATTCTCTTTGTTTATCAGCTTCCCATCTGATACAAGGCGCCGGAGAGAATGGCTCAAAGTAATCAATAGAATGAATTTCGTTCCTAATAATCATCCAAGAATTTGCTCTTGCCACTTTCCAACAGACACCATTCTGAGTAATTTGAAGATACCTCGCCTTTAAGATTCAGCTGTGCTGTCCCTCAATCTAGGATATACACCACAGGTAAATTTCTTTTGAAACTTTTCTGAGGCATGAGAAACAAAAAAGCCTCTTGCATTCACAACTCAGTCAAAATTAGTGACATTTGTGCTCATGAGAAATAGAAGTAGGACACGCTCAATTCTGAGTAAATTTTAATTTTTAATTACTACCAGTGTGACAAAAAAGAACTAGTTTCTTACCAAAATGCATATCGACGGAGAAACTACCAAACCACGTATCTCGTTTGCGGTGTTTAAAAATCTACGCTCACATTTTATTTTTTTGAAGTAGACCAAATCAATATCATTCCTTGAAATTTTCACAGAATTTTCTCCGCACGAAAAGGAAAAATCACAGAAATTTTCAAGACTGGATGTTAAGTAGTTTTTTATTTAAAAAATAAAGTATGACAGGAAGTCTGCGACGTCGCAAACCGAGATACGTGGTTTGGTAGTTTCACCATCGATATGTATAATTTCACACACTAAAGCCCTGTCATGATTCGAAATGATCAAATGGATCATATGTTGGACATTTCAGGAACTCAGCACTGTGATATTTTACAACTGATTTTGAAATATTTGCTCATTATCTACATAGGTTGCCCCAAAAGTACTGCACGTTTTTTTTTTTTTTGGACGAACGGTAGTAGATATCAAAATGCGGTTTGTGTAGTCTTAAAGACCGGCCAATTAACGACAAAACAAGACAAATCCGAGCTCTTTAAGTCAAAAAATGACCAAGTTACAGTGTTTTGAAAATGACTTGTAGAGGAGACCCCTACAGGATTTTCAGCTTCTTTTCTGGAAAAAAAACCAAGAGTTGATTGTTTTTTATTTTTGGACGAACCGTAGCAGATATCAAAATGCGGTTTGTGTAATCTTAAAGATCAAGCAATTACCAATAAAACAAGACAAATTCGAGCTCTCTAAATCAAAAAATGACCAAGTTACAGTGTTTTGAAAATGACTTGTAGAGGTGACCCCTCCAGGATTTTTAGCTTCTTTTCTGGAAAAAACAGAGATTTGATTAATCAAAAATTCTACAGAAAAATCGTCCAGATCGAATGAATTTGGCATCATGGTATCAACGCGGACCTTGCACCCTGCGATTTTTGGTTATTCCCTACGTTGAAAAAGGGCTTAAGAGGCAGGAAGTTTAACTCCATCAACGAGATAAAAAGAGCTGTTGAAACTTTCTTAAAGAACATCAGGCAAGAGGAATTCGAAAAAACATGTTTGAAGAAGTGGGAAGAACGGTTGCGGCGCTGTGTGGCAAGTGATAGAAGGTATTTTGAGAAGGAAACTAGTGTCCAGTGGTCCAGTGAAGAAGAAAAAATGCTAGTAATCTTGGTAGGATTCTGCAAAATTGATTTTATAAAACCACTTAAATCCTTAATTCTTCGTTTTTTTTTCCAGAAAAGAAGCTGAAAATCCTGTAGGGGTCCCTTCTACAAGTCATTTTCAAAACACTGTAACTTGGTCATTTTTTGACTTAGAGAGCTCGGATTTGTCTTGTTTTATCGGTAATTGCTCGGTCTTTAAGACTACACAAACCGCATTTTGATATCTGCTACCGTTCGTCCAAAAAAAAAAACGTGCCGTACTTTTGGGACAACCTATGTAATTGAATCCTATCAAACCCCTATCATACCCCATCAGACTCTTGACGTTCCTGACATCCCTGCTAGAAATTTCAGCAGTAGTCGTGAAAGAGCTTCAGAAGAAAAATCGGGTGGAACCACCTCTGCCAGCACTACAAAGAAGAAAATTACCTCTGATAATGATTCTGAGAACTTTAAGGAACTGAAATGGAAATCAAGCAGGACGAATCACTCCCAGAAAAANCTTCTATGGTCCACTGTTTGTCCAGTGCTTGGTTTTAAAAGTTCTTCCCTCCAACTCACCATTTCTCACTTTTGCTGATTTTTTCTACGGAAAGTCGCTTACTTTTTATTATTAATGACTTTTTTTCATTCATCTTAAAATTTTTATTTTGTCCCCATTTAATCTGTCGATTATGCAGACTCATCTCTCTTAAGGGCTGAACGATTGCTTTTCCTTTCTCAGTAGCTTGCAGAAAAAATCTGTTCAGGAAATAAAAGAGAAAAGTTACTAATTTTTGGTGATTTCATGCACTAATACGAGGGTTGTCCCAAAAGAAACCGGACTTTCGTCATAGAAGGCGAACCGAGCGTTGTAATGAAGTTTTCTTGGGCTTGTTTGAAAGCTGATAAGCTATTAAAGATGCTTGTTTTTACAGAATGCAAAAATTCGTCTTGGTAAGGAAACTACACGCTTTGGAATAAAGGAAAGTCAAACTCGAGTTGCGATTTTTGTCTTTATGTCAAAAAAAATTTAGATACAACTTAAAAAGAAACCCAGGTTTTAAGTTGAAAACTTCGTTGCTCTCTTCTTCAAATGCTTAAATATAAGGAAATTAAAATTTTAAGCAGCTTACCATGTCATCACCTATCCCCTTCAAAATACTCGCCAGCTTTGTCGATGAATTTTTGCCACCGTTTCTTCAATTGGGAGAAACACTGTTGGAAATCCTCAGGTTTGAATGATCCCAATTCCTTCAAGGTGTTCTCTTGAATTTACCGAAAGGACAAACTGTCAATCGCGAATATTCCAATGGTGTTCTGAGACGATTACGCAAAAATGTCCGCAGAAAAATAGGCCTGAGCTTTGGGGAGAGAATTCCTGGTTTCTGTATCACGATAATGCACCTGCCCATGCATCCCTCCAAATTCGCGAATTTTGTGCAAAGAATGCCATGAGTGTCCTCCCTTATCCCCCTGACCTAGCTCCGTGTGATTTCCCTTATTTCCACGACTTAAATCTACCTTGAAAGGTCGACGTTTTCAAACCATTCCGGAAATTCAAGAGAGCACCTTGAAGGAATTGCGATCATTCAAACCTGAGGATTTCCAACAGTGTTTCTCCCGATTGAAGAAACGGTGGCAAAAATGCATCGACAAAGCTGGCGAGTATTTTGAAGGGGATAGGTGATGACTTGGTAAGCTGCTTAAAATGTTAATTTCCTTTTTTTTAAGCATTTGAAGAAGAGAGCAACGAAGTTTTCAACTTAAAACCAGGGGTTTTTTAAGTTGTATCTATATATTTCTTGAAATAAAGACAAAAATCGCAACTCGAGTTTGACTTTCCTTTATTCCAAAGCGTGTAGTTTCCTTACCAAGACGAATGTATGCATTCTGTAAAAACAAGTATCTTTAGTAGCTTATCAGCTTTCAAACAAGCCCAAGAAAACTGCATTACGCTCGGTTCGCCTTCTATGACAAAAGTCCGGTTTCTTTTGGGACAGCCCTCGTATTTGATGTTTTCTTATTTTGAACCTGTTCTTTGGTAACTGGTAATTTGGTGATAGATAAGAAAAATGCTGCTTGTTCTCCAAACAAAATACCTTTTCGACTATTTTTCCTCTTATGTAAAAACTATCTGACATTCATGCACTGGTGCGGAAAAATCTATCTAAGTTATGAGGTAACTCAGGACGTGCAGTTTGTGATATTCTTTTAGTTTGTTATTTGCCTCTGTCTTTACCTTTCCAATCAGATCACTAAAGCTTCACTTTTCCAAGTTTCTTTTCTTCACCTTCTGGCTTGGCACACAATAATTCTCATATTTTCTTTTATCATTTAAGCCTTATGAGAAATGTAAAGAGTAAGTACATAGAGGAAGAACATGGTAAGAGACATGAGACCTTGTTCAAACTAAGTCTTTAATTTTGTTCAAAAGAGGAACTGGAGCAAAACTTTTTCCTAGTACATCGTTGAAAATGAAATGAAATTCCTCTGTAATGAAGAGTTTAAGGTAAGAAGAAAATTTGCATCCAAAAATTTCGAGATAGTCTTGTGTTTCAATGCTTGAAAAAAATGTTTCATTTGTTCAACTCAGCGAACCGATTAAGTGACTTACCATATTCTTCACCTGTTTTGCTCATTTATTATTTTTTTTTCTCATTGAGCTTAAAATACTCAATAAGACCTACTTCCTAAGTCATTTCTGCTGTAGAATATTTTTTAATTTGTGAGGGTTTACTGATGCATCTTTTCCTCTATATTAATTTGTTATTGGGTCCCGCTCGATCACTGTCTTACTTTTTCTTTTCTTGGGTTTCAAAAAACCACACGCTTGTACAAAATATTCTTCATTCTGGTTTTGGATAATGTATAGGTGCCTACTATTATCCCACCTAATCTTTAATTATTGCAAGACGTTCATACCATTTATCTTTAAAGAAATCTGGTGCCGTTTCTTAAACCTTCTAGAAAGTACTTCTTATTTCTGGATCATGCAAGGCTGTTACTAAATTTACTATTCCTTTTTCAGCTGTATACACATTCTTATTCTTATTTCGTTTGTTTATTTTTCTAATTTCATGTTTTTTATAGATGCATTTCTTGTATTTCTATTTTTGTAATTTTTTCTCCTTTATTCTCTGATCTCAAGATTCAATAAAAGTTTAATTTTTTAACATGTTGTTCTCTCAGAATTTTTTCTATGCTCACCAACCCTACCCATTTTTTTAAAGCTCTTCATAGAAGTGTCAAAGACTTCAGATCAATATCCTTCATCGGGCATTGTAATGTTGTCTCATAATTCTTTGCTATTAGGAAAAAAATTGACAGTGGTTTCGATTATTCTTCTTCACTGGGACCGGAAGCACTGCTGCAAATTAAAAATTGGAATGATGAAAAACTTATAAGGTAGGTACCTACTAAACATGCCGAAAATTTAAGCAAATAAGCCCTTTCTCTCTTCTACATTAGAAAAATGTACAACTTTTACAAATAAGTTTTCAAACCTTCCTAAAACTACCCTTTTTTCATCCAGTTCAATGCCGATGATTGAGTCCTGCTTTACTTTATAAGTAGGTACCTAAGATCCTATTTTTCAAGTGTGAGGTTCCACTTCCCTGAACATTGCAAAGGTAAGTGAATTAAGTACCTTAAAATCTCTGTTCTCCTGTCTTTTCCATAAGATCATGAGGCAAAGAGTCAATTAATGCATGCCATCTTCTTTCATCTACTCTTTTCATCTAGGTATAAATTTCCACCGTTAGTTCAAATCATGAAATTAACGCTGCTTCTCATTCTCCAAAATGATTTCAGAGAAGAATCCTTGTCACTTCCAAAATGAAAACAGCGCAGTAATTGGTGTAGAAAAGCTCTCTAGTGCATAGCTGAAATGATGAGTGCAATATATGCGCATGTAAGTGACTTTTCACTGCTTTCGAAAAAGGCTGGTCTGAATTTGACAAATTCAATGAGGCCTGATGAGCTGAGAAAAATATTGAATCGGTTTTGTCTCACCAAAAATTAATTCCTAACTTTCCATTTTCCTGAAATACATCACTTACTTCGAGATTAGTTGAACTGGGAGTAACAAAGCTGCAAATTTTTTCAATAATGTCATCTTCTCAGTATACTGATGAACTCTGATTTGTTTATTTCCACCTTAATTATTTCATCTGGAAATATTGAACCACATAAATTCTACTGAGAAACTAATTCTGGAATTCTTCGGAACATTTCATCCCACATAAATCTGAAAAAGAAGTATTCTCCCGCCGAAAATCTGCTGAAGAGAGCCAAAATTTCAGTTTTGGTTCCTAGTTTTAAATGCCCATGGATTTTCCTGCCAATGGCGCTAACAAAACTACTCACGCTCTTTCGCCGATGTTAGCGATCTGGACTAATCTGTGGATCTATGAAAACAAACTAAAATAGAGGAGAAAGAGGTTAAAAAATATTTACTGGAGGAAAGGAACCTCAAGAAAACATGAGGTCAATTTCAAGAATTTAAGAAAAAACCCGAGGAACTCAGCTGCTCTGTGCCCCTGCCTGCCTTTACTGAATCATTGTCCGCTTCTGCTGTGCTAAGGAAGAACGCCGATTGAACATTCCAGAGTTGCCAAATTTACTTCAATAAAATGATTATTTTTTAGAAAAGTTATGAGTAGTTTTCCTTTAAATTTTCAGAATCTGTAGGTGAAATAACGAATATTGTCTGAAAAAAATTAGGAGAAAAATAGTCATAAGTTTACCAGAAAATTCGCGTTTTATGAAAGGAAATTTGGCAATGCCTTAAGGTTTATGCAGCATTCTTCCTTAGCACGGCAGTCTTGATGTGTGAGACTACCAATAAGTAGCCATTCATTCTTCAAGTTCAAAACCCACAATCATCGAGAAGATAATTCTTGCATATTACAAGCTGGCCATCAAAATTACTATATCGGCTAGATTGCCGATTAGCTTTGTCAAATCCGTGCTTCCCTCCTTGATCACAATTCAAGTGTTAGTTGGGTCAGTTGCGCTAGTCTCAGAATTGTATTTTGATGACATCAGATTACAGATCAGAAAAAAATGACAAGATCTGTCTAAAACCCAAATTTTCTTGTCCAATACCAGCGGAGATATTCCTCTTCAAATAGCATGGCGTATGACGTCATCCATCACGGTAGTGCATACTATAGTTTCTTCCACCTTGGTTTCATCCGTGATTTAAGTAGAGCTACCAATACAAATCGACGGTGAAAGTCGGCAATCACATAACTCGGAAAACGCGATTTTTCAGGAGAGGGAAAAAACTCTCTACATTCCTCATCTTTGAAGGTAGAGGGGAAATAATTCTTGAAGACAGCAAGGATAAGATGCTAGCTTTATAAGACTCTATCATCATTTTAAATAATATTCTCGTCTGTCAGGAGAAATGGCCGAAAAACCGAGTTATGTGTTTGTGGAACTAAGGTCCAACACTGAATTCCGAGATACGTGGTTGGCGAATTACTGTTTCAAACCTATTCTTTGCCGATGTTGACTGAATACAGACTCAGTATAGAGTTTAACAGGATTGTGTGCTCTAATTTGCCTCAAAAAAGGTTCAATTAGTCCCACAGCATGGATGGAACATCCTGCGTTGCGAATAATATGGATTATTGGATGCAATAAAAAAACACAGACCTCATGGTTGTACTGGTACAAAATTGAAAGGATGGAAAAGGAACAGGCACCTCCAAAAAAGTATTATTCTTGATTGAATCTTCTTCAATGCCCTCCCTAAGTAATCAAGCGCCTTCAAAGACGGACGTATGCAACACTGATATCAGAAGTTTACTCCTATTTCATCTACAACAGCATTATTTAGCGGCCGACTGTCACATCACTCAAGAAAATGTGACTGACTCTACGTCCATTTTATTTCTCGAGGCTTGACGATCTGAGTTTTTACAGCAGCTTTAAGTGCTCTCTGACTTTAAAACTACCCTGAAAGTTCCTTTTGAAATAATGCTTAATTAGTTGCAAACCTTATGAGAAGGCCAACAAATTTATTCTACCATTTTAGGAAATTTGCATGTGAACTGGTACCTACCTACTTAGGAAAAGGGACCATACCTACTGGAATTACCTGGCTTTTGGATCAATTTGTGGGTTTTATTACTTCATTCTACACCGAGGACACTATTTCATGTGACTACATATTTTATGGCTCTTTATTTTCCCATTCATAACTTTTGGGGGGAAAAGTATTTAGGCACTTTTTATCCTCATTATTAAAATAATGCTACTCTATAGTTCAATGACATAAAATAAAATAAAAATTACCATCTCTTCGAAAAATATCAAAGATACTTACCAGAAATGGTAGGGCCACTAAGTACTAGGAAAGAAAAAAAAAATACTTAAATGTGATGGTTCTCAGCATGCAAACTGCTGAGCTTCATCCATAAAAAATGAGGCGCTGAGTGCGAGAAAGGAAATTCTAGATCATGGTAGTTTAGAATCTTCCCATAATATTTCATTCATTGTAAGGAAATTGAATGCATGCATTTCATTGAAACCTTGACGGAATTTTCTTCATGATTCAGAATTGTTCCAAAAAAAAAATTCTGGAAAAATCACCCATCCGTCTTCATTGAAACATAAATTAGCGATGGATTATTAAACATCGCAACCAAGAAGTGATGTTCTTACATCCAGCGCCTTAATTAGAAACAGACGTGAAGGTCTGGATGGGTGCTGATATTGTACAGCTCTCTAAAAATGCCATAGTACTTTCATGTTACAGGGTCATCACACTTGTTTTACTGGCTAGTGGTACGGAAAGTCTTCCACTGATCGATCAACTTGATCCCTAACCAAAGCATTTCAATTCTTTTCCTTATTTGAGTCGGTTCATTCATTTGAAAATTTAAAGAAATAAAGTAAGAAACTAAAATAGTTAGGTAAATGATAAAAAATAACCCTAGAAGTTGCACTTCTTACCTACCATTTTCTCAAGGTTCTAGCATCTTAATCTTACTTTCTGATTCTATAACTCTGAAAACGTTGATGACATGACCATTCAAAATTATGTTTTATTTTCTATAAAGAGCAATCAATGATATAAACATCAAACTTTGAGAATATTTTTTTCTTTGACAGGCATGTTCTTAAAAAATTTAGAGTAAAAATGTCCAGTTGGTCTTATTCTTGAAAAGTAGCCAGTGCAAAATGTCGACTTTCAATGTTGCAGACTTATTTTATACGTCCATCGTCATTATTCTCTGGTTATTTCTTCAGATGTAAGTAGTTCATAATTGTTATATCAAAATGAGTCTCATAAACGCTTAAACAACGCGTAGTTCACCTCCCCCTCTCAAAGAAAGAGATAAAAAAATAAATATTTACAAGTAAATACTTAATGGAAACCAAGGATAAAGGAATGAAGAAAAAACGATGTTGCTACTTGCGGGAAAATGCGATTCGTTGGAAAAATACATAATATACAATGAGCTGGTAACGCAATGGATAAACAATGTTTTGGTACAACAAACTACATTACTCTAAAAAATTACTCTTTGGATTGACAATATAATTAATTTTTAAAATGGTCTAAACATGATTAAATGAGTGATAAAACACCAAAAAAATGTAAAATAAATAAGAAATTACACTTGGTCGACTTGGAAAAAAAAATTGAACAAAAAATGACTCTTTGAATTAACAAAAGAAATGCACTAATTTGGCAAAATGTATAAAAAGAAAATAGAGAGACATAAAAGAAATTGAAAATTGCACTTGGTTGACTTATTGGTCCTATAATAGGGCGTATCAGCAAGAGAAAAAATAAGAAGAAAACAGATTTATAAAACAAAAGAAACCTGGTTGACGTGAAGAGAAAACTTAAGTAAATGACAATTGCAACCTTTGAATCGACAAATTGATTGCATAAAAATATGAAAACATGATTGTAGTATATTAAAAAAAATTAAGAGGCATTACAGAAAATTGGAAATTGTAAATGGTTGACTCATTGGGCCTTTAAGAGGCATTATCAGTTTTCTGATAGAAAAGCTGGACAGGAAGAGGGCAAATAACAGTCTGGAAAAGACCAAAGCTATCGCAGACTAGATACTTGGAAAATGATTTTCAAGAAAACCCCTACAAAAGCCCTAAAAACCAAAGAGAACTGGAAGATAAAGTTAGAAACATCGAATTTCTTCTAGATCAAAGAAAATGTTATTGAAATTACGATTAAAAAAGGAGAAAAAGATCAAAAAGAGTTCAAGAACGAAAAAACTTTTTTGACCAAAAATAAAAGAATTACAATTACCAGAAACTGAGTTTGTGATGCCAGGAAAAAGGGATGTGTGTTGCAAGGAGGGGAAACAGAACCAATATCAAAAGTACGAGTAGAAGGATAAGGCAGAGCAAAGGTATTGGCTAAAAGGCCAGCTCATAGTGATCATATGAGATATGGATTTCGACGGCGTAAGTCGGCAATCACATAACTCGGTTTGCGATGTCGCAGACTTCTGGTCATATTTTATTTTTTAAAATTGCCGTGATTTTTCTTCTCTGTGCGGAGAAAATTCCGCAAAAACTTCAAGGAATGATGTCGATTTGTTTTCCTTTAAAAAAATAACATAGAGGCGGAGATTTTCAGACACTGCAAACGAGATATGTGATTGCCGACTCACACCGTCGATTTACAGTTTATGCTACTTGTATAACATAAAGAAATTTAATGTGGCACCTGTCCCGCCTCCAACAGCACCGCACCACCTCCAACCATCAATATCAGCTAACATCCTGTAAAGACAAAATTGCATTGATTGATTGACATTGAATACACAAACACAAATAAGAAGACAACAAACGATGAAAAAATGGTACCATCACTCGAGGCCTGGATACATTTTAACATGTTGACTGTAAAATTCCCTAGCTATTATCTTAATTGAGCATTTCAGAACCTCTGCTCCCAATTTATTTTCTGGACAAAAAACAAATTAATGATGTTGCTAAAAATATTCACAGAATATTCTTCGCCAATGGCATCAAAATACCGATGAAAGAAATGGCGGCAACCGGGGCACAAACATAACATCAAATAATTTTAACATGTGATCATGTTTGATCATGTTAAGTTGCATCAGCATCTCATCAAAAATTAATTGATGTCACTAAAGAAATAAAAAAAACGAATATATATAAATAAAAAGTATTTTAAAAAAGTTAGTAATAGATATTTTTAATGGAAAATAAAGTGCTTCTTCTGTAAAATAGGATTAGAGAGAGAGAGACGGAGCGATGGCTCGTTAAATAAAATTAAAAGCTTTGTTTTAAGCTGTCAAACGCAAAAAGCGCTACAAAAATTATGACAAAATCAGCAAAAATAACATCGAAATTCGGGAAAAATAACCGTGAAATCGGGGGAAAATATACGCAAAATTTTCCAATGTCTAAACATGACGATAAATAAGACTGGGAGTTACTACTCTATTCTTTTACACCAACAACTGGAAGATCATCATAAAATGAATGGTAATCTCGTAGAATGACTGCCTTCAACTCTTGAATTGGTAGTCGTTTAGAGTTTAATCTAGTAGGGTCACACTTTAAGGTAATGGAGTCAGGCTTCCGTGGGATTTCAAGATAAGGATCATCAAAGTTCAGTTTTTACATAATTTTGCCATTGGGGCAGTATTTAAGACATTTAAGGTCATTGACTATAGGGTTACCTTTTTTTTTGACCAGGGCAAATGGAATCAAAATAATGCAACTGCAAATCATCTAAAATAAATGAGTGCTCTAGATATTTAGCCTCATAAGGAAATGGTTTGCTTCTAGCTTCTATGGTACATTTGACGTAATCGTGGGGGACAAATATATCTTTAATTTTCAAACGCCTCTCAATGGCAGAATGGACACTGTCACACTCCATCTGCTTGTGTCCTTTTTCCCGATACTTTTGGGTAATTTCTATCCCCAGTTTGATTGAATTATGCAATAAGGGGTTTGCAACTACTTGATTTTTATTTTGATTGCAACAATTGTCACTGTGAATTGTAACCGGCTTTTTGTCTTCAGAAATACAATTAGTTGTTAAAAAATCGCTAAGGCAGGAGGCGTACGTATTTGCACTCAAGTCTGCCTCCGTCTCGTTAAACCAAAGGCACATGCAGTTACGGTTACTTAAATTAAACACTGTGTAGTTGTGAGTAAGCAATTTAGTACAGTAGTACATAGCACTAGACTTTGTTAATGGTGAGGCTTTTACCGCCTCCATATCTACTGCTAAACATATAATTTTGTTCTGTAACGCTAGATTTTTGTCAACTTCCTTCTCCATCCTCGCTCTGTCTTTCTCTAGGATGTGTCGTTCATACGCTTCCTGTTCTACATTACCTACTTTATGGCCGACACAGGTGTCACATTGGTCTTTTTTCGGAAGGTATAAAGATAAATCCAGTTCCTCAAATAAGTTGCAAAAAAATGTTCTACTAACAAAAGGCTTATTTTTTTCTGTAGCATAACTTTTGTATACCTCATACAACTGCACCTTGCTTTGCCAATTTCCCTCTAAATAAAGTTTGTTACTTTCTCGTTGGCAATAATGAGATGGTAATTTTGGTAGGAGTTCGAACCAATTTAAAAGAAACTGTCTTCTTTCACTGATATGCTCTGTGATTTCGTCCTCACTCATGTCATCTACTACTTCCTCGTCACCATTTAGATTCTCTAAGTTTTCATCCATGTTATCATTAAGGAGCAAGAATTTCTTTTTTGCCCATGCATGGACTTGCCATTCTTTTAAAGAAAGAGTGGAGCAAAAAAATGATTTGCAAACTTCTACCATTGAGATCTAAAAAATAATGATAACGAGTTTTTCCTTTTGGAAACTCCGGGTTGCTTCTCTTTGAGTTTGTTCACATTGACCCAAAAATTTGTTTTGCCTCCCAAGGAAGGGCCCAGAAGTCTTCAAATATGACAGGCCTTGTGGTCTCTGTAAATAGGTCACAGTGCCTTTTTTGACTCGTCTTGCACATCTTGGATATGCACCTAGGCCCTAATTTTTTCTAAGGTCGTTTGATTAATCGAGCTGGGCAACCTTTTTTCCTTTGCCTGCTAACATAACCGTCACCTAGCATTCTTTTGGACTTCTGTATATTCTTTTGCCAGATTTCAGGGCGTGGTTTTTTGCTTCGGGTTTTCGTTTCCCTTAGGTTGAAGAAATCATGCTCCAAGTTTTCTTTATTGCTTTCTGAGTTATCGGATAGGGTGGAAGAGAGAGAGTAGTTGACGAGACTAGTACATACTGCAAAAAATAAATAAATGTCAGTGTTACACTAGTATGAGTGTGCACATTTTTAAAAAAGCCTTCAATTAATGGATGGGGCAGTTGCTCTAATCACAGAAGCGTTTTCTGATGGTATTAATATACAGATTAGCAGAAGTTGATGAAATCTGTCCAAATGCTAAATTTCTACATCCAATTTTAACAGAGATATCCCTTTTCAAGAAACATGGCGAAGAATGTCTTCCGCCATGGTAATGATCCACCATCCGGGGAGGGTAGGGATCCATGTTTTCTTCCACCGTCATTCCAATAATCAGTGATACGCATATTTTCATTGCTTACTCCTCGCAAAACATAGATTTACGCCATGTTTTCTAATAAACGATATCTCCATTTAAATTTGTCGTTGAGACTGCAGCATTTGCACAAATCTGATTATTTTTTGCTAATTTATAAGCCTAAATCATCAAAGCGCAATTCTGTATCCAACAAGTAACCCATTTGAAATTCAACTTCCTTGAAGCTAAGCAATAGGTAACTTACCACTGTTAGATGGCCTTAAAATATGCGGATGGCCTTGTTGAAGCGGTCCTTCCTTGGGCAAACCTAAATAAAAGACAGAGACAGAGACCATTAAGTACTTATTACTGACAAAATATTCTACTGATGAGAGTCATCTCAAAATAGTCTGGAAAACAGGAAATCAATGGTAAGACAGTAAGACTCTAAAGACCATTTCTCTCTGATTTAAAAAAATAATAATAATAAAAAAAAAAAATTAGCTACCTAATACTTCTGAAAGAGATTTTTGCGGAATATTTTTAATTGAACCAAAAAATCAGAGGAATTTTGCGAAACAGGTATTGTACTTTTTCTTCACTGAAGTTAAATGTCACAAGATAAAGTTACAAACCAATATACAGAGATTTCTACTTAATGTTCAAATTCATTTTCCAAAATTTTGGGGGAAAATTTCAAAACATAAATTTGATGAAATGAAACATGAACAATATTCACCCTCATTCTTACCTCACCTACCCATTCGTGAGAAAAAGAACAATTACATAGTAATTTTCGTTTGTTTCACAGACTAACCGCCATTAATAAGCTTTATTACAGAACAAATAATTTAAGCACTGAAAAGAAAAATCACATGAATGCTGATTTAAAGACTTTTCTTTTAATAGTTACAGCATGAGATGAAAATAATTTGCTTTCAAAATAAGTGCCCTTTCTTTTCAAAAATTTGAATGTGAGATCAAGTGTACCATTAAATGCTACTCTCTGACAGGAAATAATAAGCAGCTGGATTCTAACAATCTACATTTTAGTAATGAAAATATGTTGGAACACAAAACTCTTTTCAATTTTATATTCTCCATTATGAGGAGTAGCAGAGGGCGTAAATATACAGCAAACTCACATTGAATTTCATCGATGTAGGAAAAATAGTTTTTAGGAAAAATAATAAGTCTTCAAATCATAATTCAACTTGAAAAAGTGTATTTAAATTTTCCTTCATAAAGATTAAGGGTGGCTAAATTACTATAAAATAATATGCTCAGGGAAGCAAGCTGCAATTGAGCATTGAATCCCTTAGCCTCTTTGATTACTGTACACGTCTCTCTTCTTAATCATCTGTTTAAATAGCGGCTCTCCCTTCAGTCCAAAGCAATCTATTCTCAAAAGTAAGAACTGGCTTGAAGTGCCCTGGCCACAAAGTGCGGTTTGCCACTTCCATCCTCTTAGCTTTGATGTCTCTCTTGTGGTCCCGTTATGTATTTCTATTTCTTTGCTTCTATTTTCAATACGATTTGCTCCCTAACAATTTTTTTTCAATAATATTTAGAAAACATAAAACAAACATGGGTATAATTGTCTCCTTTCTCCGGAAAATTATGGTGCAAGTAAAGCTTTCCTTGCATACTCAGACTGCACGTAGCTGCTTTATCTAGATCTCTTTCGTATAGAAGTGGACTGTTGGTATTTTTTTAAAAGTTTCCCAAAAAATTGATATCAGCAGGCCTCGTTGCAACCAAAAAAAAATTAAATAAAAAATAATTTAATGAAGGAAGGTACTCACACTGATGCTGGTTTTCTTCAGCACTCTCTCCAGATAAATGTAATTGAAAATCAGAGTCATCTCCTTCTCCCTCTGCAATGTCTCCTTGGAACAGATCTGAATAACATCAAAGTGCAAGTGTATTACATTTTATTCAATTTCAGGCAGTAATAATTACTGAAGTTCCATTCTTCACTTTCAAAAAATATGAACAGTATTGTTACTTTTCATAAGAAATAAGATTGTCAAATTTCATGAGAGATTTGAAATGTATGAAAGATACAATTCGACACTTAATTCTCTATCATAGCTGACAATGAGGAATTTATCGAGAAAACTTTTACCTTAATGCTTTCAACGAAGTCAGACCTTCACACGTCATAAGTGTACAGAAAAAGAGGAAAAAAAAAAGATTAAAATTGATAATCATGAGTGTAAATTGTAATTTTTCAATTCGGTTAATTTTACCATCAACCTTTTGTCTTGCAAGAAAATTGAGAGGTCTTTGGAAAACACGGAGGGAACTTAGAGTGACTTAAATGTAGGAGGAAAAAAAAAGATGTGAAAGCATTTGATATGTTTGAGTGCAGGTTGCATGCTCAGTCCTTCATAATATTATTTCCTCAGCCAATGACGACGACCAGGACGCAGTTTTATCAGTCAACCGCTCAAGAATAGAGCACATATAAAGCAGCAATAAATGGACTGCATTTTGCAATTTGGAAGTATAAGTTTTGGCTCTTCTGGAAAAACACTTATGTGCATAGGGAAACTAATGGCACATACGTTGTTTTTAAACCGGGCTAGAATTTATAGTTCCAAATTGTGAAATGAAGTCTAAATATAATAGATTTAATAAGAGAATAAAAACAATAACAGCCATAAAAACATTCAATTATCTAGAGTTAACTTTGTGCCCATCTTTTGGGCAATAGTCCTGGTGATGTTTTTCCTAAAATTTGTCTGTTCATACCAATTTTTGCTAATCCTTTTTATCCATTCGGTCAATGTGGTCTGACTGCATCTTCCTCGTTATGCTGCTTTGCTTTGCAACATCTTGCTTGTCATTAGTATCGATGATGGACTTGCTAGTCTACCAATCCAAAAATGTAACACCCAATATTTTCCTTTAAACTTTCGTCTTAATTGAGCAAAATTGTTGATAGGTTAACTTTGTCTCAGCTCTAGTCTCTGCCGCAAATGTAAAAACTTCTATAAAGAGGGTCTTGCAGGCTCTGACTCTACTTTTTGGGACTATGTACTTATCGTGCCACATCATTTTGTTGGGATGTCAGGCAAATCTTATCACTTTGTTTACCTGGTCTTCCACTTTGGATCTCAAGTCCAGTAGTTTTTTGTCAGCAATGTCAAGATAAGTTTTATACTTTTGGAATATTTCACAGCCTCATGAAATTTCAAAAATTTGAGACTTGACTTTCTTCAATAACATCACTCGGTAAATTTTACAGCAGATAATAGAACTATAAATATTTTTGGACAGAAGAATCCATTAAATTTTGTATTTCCTGTGTTTTTCGAGAAAAATGGACCAGTATTTGATCACAGGCAGTAGCTTTTTTGGAAAAGAATCTCGGTGATTTTTTCACTCTGTATGAAGACAATTCTGAGAGATTCTCAAGCAATAATGTTGATTTGTTCTTCTTGCATAATTATTTGCATAAGTACTCCCAACGAGAGAGGAAATGAATAAAAACTTACGTGTCTACTTCTATAAGAAATTCCTCCGGTACACATGAAGGCGCTGAAAGGTAATCAAAGGATGAAGGGTTTCCATGACCCGAGCCTAAATTAAGAAAAGAGAAAAGATTAGATACTTCTACGGTCAAATTGTCCGCAAGTAAAAAAGGTCCTTTTAAAATAATGTGAGGATGGACAGCCAGAAAAATAGTTAACTGAAGAAGACCTGTATTGTAGGTAGGTAGTTTTTTCCAATGATGGTCCACAAGTTTCGTGATTTTTCCGCTCTGTATAAAGAAAATTCTGTGGGCTTCTCAAGCAATAATGTTGATTTGTCTTGCTTCAATAATGAAAATGGAGGCAAAGATTTTGAAACACCACAATTGAGATAATGTCGTTCAGGAGTTTCTCCGTCGATATCTCTTGTTATTCATCCACCCCCCCCCCCAATTCAGCTGATAATTGGCAAGAATGAAAATTGGAATGAATCACTTCCTACATTCATCATAAATTTGTAGAACTACGAACTTTCCAAATGAAACATGCTGAAGTAACATCTCTTTGGCCCTGGTATAACTTTGTTAAGTTTTAAGACATTTTTTCAATCTTCAATGTGAATTTGCAAAAGTACTTCTGAAATGGAAGGTAATGAATAAAAACTTACAAGTGTCTACTTCTGGGAGAAATTCCTCGGCTGCACATGGTAAACGGTTATCAAAAGACGAATCGCTTTAACCCTTTCCGGTCCGCGGCAGTTTTCCACGGCCGTCGTTAAGTGAGGTTAAGGTAGCAGCGATGTTGTCAACAAAGACAGTGGTTTCCAAAGGCTCCACCAGAGGCCGCCACTTGCTGGAGCAGTCGAATATACCCGATATCGGGCCTGCACAGAAGTTCAAACTTTTGGGCGACTATATCCGACATCGGACCTAAACGCGTTATTTTTCACGGCGAATATATCCGACATTGGACCGGAAAGGGTTAAGTAGGGCTTCCATGACTTGAGCCTAAATTCAGAAAAGAGAAAAGATTAGACACTTCTACTGTCAAATTGTCCAGAGAAACAAAGGTCCTTTTAAAATAGTGTGAGGATGAACAGCCAGAAAAATGACAAACTGAGCAAGACCCACAATGATCAAATAAGACTGCGAGGGCACTAGTGAAGAAATCTCTCTGAAGTTTTGAGCAAAAATATTGACAAGTTTACTAATATGGTAGAATAAAAAGTACAGGTAAGTAACTCAGCCCTTATTAAGGCAGTACTACTAGTTCCATCAAAAATATTTCTATGGTTATTTTCCAAAATGAGAAACTTAAGTATCAGAGGGAATGTTGTGGCACTATCAGTATACGTGTCTGTGAACCATTGACACTTGCACAAAGGCACAAACCAACATTCAAAAGTCTCATATTCCAGTTCAGTATTTTTAAAAGTGAACTGTTGCATTCCTTAATCTACACTGACTCTTCATCATACTACAAGGAGTCAATCCTCATACTATTACTAAGCAATTTGTTACATTCAACTTTCCCAAAAATTAGAGCAATAGGAAAATTAAGGAACATTGCTTGTTACCTAGGTGTTACTAATTTGGCACCAATCATTGACTAATATTTTCCTCAAAATGCAATACACTACTTTTAGGGCTATCTCATTGTACATTAAGAGAAAATTTAAACTTTATTTAGCACGGAGTTGTGTAGAAATTCTGCATTCAGATGATATCCTTGTTGAGTCATTCTGAATAAGATTGGCTTACCTGTGACAAAATGAAACAGACTTTCACAAGATTCTTCAACGGGATGATAATTAAATCTAAATCAGCACAAGACAAGAAAACATAGCCCTCTTTTAACCGTGAGATATAATATTGCAATTCATTGTCTTGTCATGCTCGCATCAACTTTCAATGATTGACCCGCAGTTGGAAAACTCCTAAATTGCTGACAAACTGTGAGTGACAAAGTATATCATTCTATGTGAACCTTTGGTCTGATTTTGGTTTCTATATTTGGGTAGGTACTTAAGGGCCAAGGCATTTGAAACTGGATTAATTGTTCAACATACCTGTGAGTCGCAGCCAAAACTTCTTATTTTTTGTCTGCCTCCTGCTGCGACGGACCATCGCGAAAGCAAAGCGAAAATAAAAGAAAAACGAGGACAAACAGCTACATTAAAAAAAGGAACATAGTCACGAAATAAAGATACATTAAATAACCACAGCACTCCGCAAATTTGAACTTATCACCTTATCAGTATCAGTCAAAACCAGAGACAACGAAACAGACGAAGGGAATGTTGTCAAAACAATAATAATGTTGTTGTTGTTAGGAGGACTCCGTGGAGAGTGCACGTTGTATGAAATGTGGCGCGGCGGCACGAGTTATGTGTTATTGGAATTAACGCCGAGTTATGTGTTTTGAGTTCTACGTTTTTAGGTGACTTCCAGATTTTTTTTGACTGAAATATTATGATAGCAGGTAAAGGGCATCTACTACACTTCATTTCTGCAGCTAACTCAAAACCGCCAAAAATCGAGTTATGTGATTGCAGACTTTCACCAGTCGAAATGTGTACATCACTAATTGATGAATCAAAGGTGGAAGAGACCGTGGTGTAAGCTACCACAGTGGATGACATTACACGCTGTGTTTTTCAAAGGGCAATATCTCCATTAATACTGGATGGAAGAACTAAGCATCTGGACATTTTTTACTTATTACTTTTAGCTAATCTATAAGCTTGAACCATCAAAATGCACTTCTGTGACCAGCGCAACTGACCCATTACAAAGGATTCACCTCGATTAGTAATTTTAAATGATGCAATATAAAAAGTCAGCGTCACTGACTCATTGTTGAGAGTCTGGGTAATACTTCTGGCAACAAGTCTTCGTTGAAGGCACCAAAATCCATACTTCGAATTAGCAGGTTTTTGGCAAATACAGGTCAATAGACTGCCACATCAGGAAATTTACCCACGTCTGGTGTATTGATAATAATAGGCAGGAAAAATCTCAGTGTTTAATATGACCGCAGCACATGATGATCTTCAAATACAAGATTTGATTAATTTCTGAAGCAGTCAAACTACATGGAGGTCTTACCAGCGAATACTCCAGCTGCAGATTTCGCTGCAGTAGTTGTTGATCCTTGCTCTTTTTCCAGCTGGCATCCTAGATACTCCCTGAAATAGAACAAAAATAAAAAATCAACGACATAATTAATTAAGAAAATTTTACTTCTTAGGTTTGTGCGACAGGTATGATCCTAGACTCGAGTAGCAAAATATTTATATTCGCATGCAATAATCGTTTACCATTAACATGGATCTACTGAGAAACTAATACAGTGCTCTATGTAGTGGATCTCAAGGGACCCGAAGATTCATCTGGTACAGGGAGACACCTACTGGACAGAGAGGGTAATACATGTGTTTAATACAGGAAAAGGCGGGTGAATTTATCCGTTGCGGAGTTTTCTGTTACAAAGAAAGAGAATTGCAGGAGATTGGGCAAAAAAGAAAAAGGAAAATAGTTGACATGATTAGCAGGTTCTATACCCCACAATTAGCTTATATCTCTTTTGTTAAGGTGTATAATAGTTTAGTTAAAGACAAACCAATATTTAACTGAATTCATTTTTCATAACAGAAAAATTATTATTTAATTGTTACATTATCTTTGATTGAGCTAGAAATTAAAATAAATGCTGAAGTGCTAAGAACTTTGTTAAATATAATTTTATATTTCCTTACCCTAATCTCTAATACTTAAAACAGGTTAGACAGTTTTTCATCAAGTGCATTATGACATGCTCAGTATCCTTGCAGCTTTGTAGTAATCACCTGTATGTGTCACTCATGATTCAAAATGAAAGAAAAAATAGAGAATATGAGGAGCCAAAATGATTAAAAGACTGGTCAACATTATACGTCGGCTTGCTCGGCATTAAACAACGGGTTTCCTAAATATTGCAGAAATGTATTCAATAAGTTTCATAATAAAACCACATGAAAGAATAGAATACTTGATTTCTTGTTGATGGAGTGAATTTTCCAGGTTAAGGGTTTAAAGTTCTGCACTCAAAGAACACAGAGATGTTCCTTCAAAGACAAAACTAATGATTGGCTTTAGTCGTTGAGACAATACGTCCACCACAAATATGAAGTATTTTCTCAAATAGGTACTGGGATCACTATGAATTAATCATTTCCCGAAGCATCACCGTCACTCTCCAGATCACTAAAATGTTGGTAAAGGCCGCTCACAGGTCTAATAAAGAGGAGTGAGAAAAGAGAGAACGCCTAGATTTGAATAGATAAGGGAAGAGCATGAAGTTTTCAGTGAAAGGCGCGTATTTGAAACTTTGATTTTAGATTGAAAAAGAATTGAAACACAGTTGTCAAGTTGTTTCAACGCACTATCCTCTTGCTGAGGTTTTCAAAATAACATTGAACCGAAACAAATTGCTTCGAAGGTTTATAAAATGTTTTATTTTTTTAACACCTAAAGTAGTTAGCCAATTGGTAGAGGAGTGCCGACTGTCACAGTTCTAGTGCAGAATCCATTTGCTGTATGTGAAGTTATAACTCTGACCAATCTATCTAATCCTGGGTGACACTTAGCAATTTCTACTTCTTACCAGTAGATAGGTGGTAAAAATCTGTCATTTACTGTCACTTCTGTCATAAGTCAAAATTAAATGTAATATGACAATATTTCCGGAAAATTGATCAAAATGTAAAGTTGCGAACTTTTTTGAGAGAGAAAAAATAGCCAGATGTTATGGTACTAAAAATCAGATACAAACATTTTTTAGGGAAACTACTTAGAATAAACCTCGATTTTGAATAAATTTCTGGTTTTGTTTAGTTACGGTAACATTGGAATACTACTGTATCTTTATGAATTGGCGATGTTTAACAATTTCGGAATGATAACGGAATTTCGGAGCGTTGATAAGATTTGGGAACTTCCAACTCAAAACCTTGTCCGCCTCAAAACCAACTAAGTTGTCATTCATCAAACGGTTAGAATGTCAGCGCATGTAAATCAAAACTTCTCAGAAGAATTGTTTTTAAATCTTGATTTAATTTAAAAATTGTCAATTATTACTTACTATTTGCCTCGAAAATAGTGACGGCCGTATTCACCAACATCAAAGGATGCAATGCTGAGCACCAAAGCATCCTCAGAAGTATCAAGTAAATAGACCAGACAGCGAAGAAGCTCATAGTTGTGCTCATTCAAACATGCTGCATTTTCTCCCCAGAACTGAGCAGACCGGTGGACTGGAGACCACTCTAGTCACCCACATTTTACTTCAGTGGCATATTCATCAAAAGAACTATAAGTAAAAATGAAAAAAATTATTTCAAATTACAGTATTTACTTTCTTGATAATAGATACCACACTCACTACAGACAATGGTCTTCCAAAAATAAACCGTGAATTATCACTCTTTTAGGTGGAGAGAATGTCATTAAGAGACTTTGTACTTCAATTTGATGATATATGAGCTACTCTACTGTACTAAGGAGAAACATCGTATGAAAATTCGAGAGTTGCCAAACTTCCTCAGATTAAATGTTCATATTTGAGAAGATTTATGAATATTCTCTCTTAAAATTTGCAGCTAACTAAGGTCCGATTGTGGATTAAATTCTCTGAAAAATTGGAGAAAAAATATTCACATATTTCTTTGTATTCTATTAAAGGAGCTTTGGCAATGGCTGATGGCTCATACAGCACTCTTCTTTGACACGGAAGTATTTTTTGCCTCCATTCTTAGCAGATGATAACTTCAGAATAACCTGTTGAACATTTTACAATGCAAGTTGGTTGATCTAAATCATGTTTCAACAGATTATTCACCAATTTCATGAATCATCACTAGG